TGGTAATTAGATTATATGGTGATAATTAGATTATATGGTGGTAATTAGATTATATGGTGGTATCCAGATTATATGGTAGTAATTAGATTATATGGTGGTATCCAGATTATATGGTAGTAATTAGATTATATGGTGGTATCCAGATTATATGGTGGTAATATAATCTAGGGCAAATGGGATACCACCATATGATATAATTATATCATATGGTGGTATCCCACTAAAAGTATGAAGGTTTCTATATTCCAAATAATATTATTTCTATCAACTCAATATACTGTTATAGTTTGATTGCGAGGATCAATTAAAATACCTTTCTAAATAAACTAACCATAATAATTAATAGCAATAATAAAATAAACATAATCGACAAATAAATAATCATTAGTCACTTACTTCAATATTTGCATTTATGTAATTTAATATTTTTCAGTAATAATAATTCTCAGAATCATTATTCAAATGTATTTCTACGACAAAATTTAAGGCAACTAAGGGAAATGCCTCATCTTGATCACTTGCTGATAATATATTCTACCTGCAATAAAAAAGATTAAAAAATATAATAAACATGCAAACCATTTATATACAGTTAACTCTTGTTATAACGAACTCTATGTCTTAGACCTCAACTTCACTATAAGGCTATAATGAAGATTTTAAAAGATTTGATTGGCCAATTCGCTATAACAAGAGTATTTTTATTATATTTGTTCAAAAAATTCGTTATATCAAGAGTTCTCTATATCAAAAGTTGACTGTAATGAGAAAAAAACCTTGTGATAAGAACAACAAAAGCATCTGGGCCTCGAACAATAGGATTTGGCAGAGGTAAATATAAGCTGTTTATAGTTAAATATATGTTAAAAGTACATGATATTTAGAACAGGCATAAAGAAAAAAATTCTTGTGATAATTCATAAAATATACATTGCTACTGTAAAGTCTAACAATCCTATTATTATTTTATTATCAGTGGATAACTTCATATATAAGTTCAGCGATTCTTTGTCCTATTTTATTTTATCATAATTTAATACAAGAAGAAATGTTTGTTGATATCTCAACAAAAAATAGCATATCAGTTTAAACGTTAATGGTTATTATTACAATTTTATCATCAGCTAGTTTCAGTTTGTGAGAGGAAAGAAGTATTGTTGCAAGTTCTTTAAAGTCTTTAATGGTAAGAAGGACACAATCAACTTATGTTATTTCAAGTCTATTCTTGTCCAGTTTGTAATAAGGAGGAATTATTGTCTCGAATGAGATTTTTAAATATTTTAAAAAGTATGTAAAATAGAAGTATAAATCTGATTGTATAAATTAATCAGATTAATTAATGCATGTGATCATATTCTACGTAGTTAGTGACAATAGTGTGAATGTCCTATACTTATTTCTGATTTTTGACTGAAATACGTGATTATTGATCATGAAAATTTTTCACAGATATAATTAATAATAATAGTGATAGAAACAAATTAGCGAATTTTTTCAGAAATAAGAAGCAATGAAATAATATAATATAAGAAATCACCTAAGATTCACTTACTTTTAACATAAAACCAATCAGAAACATATTTCTCAAAGATAGTAATTATTATGCAATATATATATATATTTTTTATTATATAAAATATATTTTTACATATTTAAAAATTATATACAAAAATTATAAATAAATATATAATAAATAATTTAATTAATTATTTATTTATTTATCTAAAAATTGTTAATAAAGTTAGTTGTATAATACAATTTTATATAATTATTTAAATTTATAATATATATAAAGTTTTTATTTAAGTGATAAAATAAATTTATTTATATTTAAAGTTTATTTTTTACTATTTTTTTTTAAAAAAAAAAATATATAGATTTTAAATTATTAAAGAAAATTAAATTATAGCAGATTTATAATAATCTAATAAAAATAATAAATGAAATGAATAATAGTTTAAATTTCAGTTATTAGTATTGTAAAATATTTATATATTTTTATTAACAAAAATAAGTATATAAATTAAAAAAAAAAGTATTTTTTTTAATATTAAATTGCTATTTTATAAGATAATCATTTTTTACAATTTATTTTTTTTTATAATTTTAAAATATCAAGAATTTTTTAAAATTAAGTATGATATCATAATTAGAATACCTATAAATGCCTCTTATAGAAGAGTATACATTTATAAAATATTATAAAATATATCTTTATATTCTTTCTTAAATTATATGTATATGCTATGTAAACTTTCACGATTCTTCCTATTTCTTTTAACGAATTACCATTATTTCCGTAAATCCGGACATTTTAACAATCGAGATAAGTATACGATTGGATATTAAAAATCACAAAAGTTAAGCAATTATGATAAATTTTGTCCTCCCACAAAAACATGCAGTGAAACTTTTGGCACAACATCCACGTGCAAAGAATAGAACAATAGCCAATTCTCTTTTTTGTAGATATGAGGAGGATAGGGCCTTATTTGTCCGAGTTACTAGCATTGATTTAGTTGATAATGAAGAACCGCCTTCTTGGAGAATGCTTCGATCGGACGATAGCGTAGATAATGAAAAAAAATCGACAAAGCATTATACTAATAAATCTCTTTAAAGTTAAAAATTGCTTATACTTTTTGAATCTTATGTATGTTTAATTAATATAGAAAAAAGGCTAACGCATCAATACTATTAGATAATTCGTTCTATATTCTAATTCTCATTTCAGACTTTTTTGGTTTGAGTCAATTATTTACATGATATTACGTAACACAAGTATATTGAAGATCCCGTCATCGACAGGAACTGTTGAATGAATTTCTACAGTAGTAAACTTTTAGCTGTTAGTCTCTATTTGATTGCATATAAAAATGATCGTTTCTTTTTTGAACTGAGAAATAGCAAATTATTTCTTGCTCTCTCTTTTTTCTTTTTTTTTAGTTAGAGAAAAAATAATCTTACGGCACAATATTGTTTTTTTATTTTTATTTTTATTTTTTTCTTTTTTTCCTCCCATTTTTGTTTAAAGTAGTTTTCATTTAGGATTTTCATTCCATTATTAAATAAATTAAAAAAAAAAATGTCACCTTCACGACAACAAACTATTCGTAACGAACCAACAAAAGAAACTTATGATAGTATGGATATTGACGAACCACAAAAAAATTTACCAACTTCTCGAAGTTCGACAGCATATTCTACTAACACTTCAAGTTCACGCATGACAACGTCAACAATACCTTCTCAGGAACAAAAGAGACAAGAACAGCAGCAACAACTTGATAAAGAAGCATTCTCAACAGTAGTTACTCAACAACAACAACAACAACAACAACAACAACAACAACAGCAGCAGCAGCAGCAACAACAACAACAACAGGCAGCAGGAAGTTTTTATACCTTTGATATTAATGCATTAGTACAAAGCGCATTATCACAGTCAAAAGTTGATCCAGAAGTAGTTTGGGCAGCTGCTCAATTATTTATTTTATCTAATCAAGCTAGAAATAACTATTTAGTTGATTCAAATTCAAATGTTGTCGATGTTTCGGCTGCTAATCGTTCTAGTGCCATGTCTTTGTCTAATTTACTTTTACCTGATGAAGCCAATTCTTCTTCAAAAGCAACGGTATTTATTAAAAAAAATTAAATTTTATTTCAAATTTATTTTCAGTGAATCAATCTAAACTCTCGGGTTATCTTTTCATATTTATCAAGTAGAATGATGCTCCTTCGTTGCGAGAGGATGGTGTTCATAATCGATTGAGAGAAGGTTTTGTCAATTATGGGATTGGTGTTTGAAAATTATTATTTTTTATATACATTACCTTTTTTCCTCCTTTGATATCGTCAATCCTTACAAAAAGCATGATTGATTGATTGTAATTAAATAATTTTTGTATTTGCGTGTAGTAAAAAATGAATTGGTTTTTAATTATTTGTATTTTCTTTGCTTTTTCTTCTCTTTCATTCACCCAAAATCAAACATCACTTATTTGCTTATAACAAACAAGTGACTTGGTTAGTTTTTATTTTAAATCATCGATTATTATTTTCATAAAAAAACCCCTTTTTCTTTATCTTATTCTCTAAAAACAAAAAAAAAAAAAATTTTTAAAGATAGTGTTTATGTTTTTCTTTCTTTGCAATTTAATTGATTTTTAATGACTGCAAGTTTAGCAAATTAAGGTGTTTCATTCAACTTGTCTAAAACATAAGCAATTAAAAAAAAATCACATTAAAATTGCAACAAAATATTTCGTTTCGTAACTTAATTTGTACATATAAAATTGTAATGTACACAGTGAATATTCATTCTCATAACTTATACACAAATATAATTACTAATTTTATTTATTTTATTTTATTTTTAAAAAATAACAAACATTGTATCAAAAAAGAAGTTCCTTGTAAATGCAATTTATTAGTATTAACAACATCAATTATAAAAAAGAATGGAAATATGATAGATACGAAGCGTAGAAATAACTAACACAGCAGACTTTTTTTTATGTAATATTTTCCATTTACAACGGTGGATGGTAAATACTGGGATCGAAAAACTAATCTAAATACGAAACCACAAACAGATCCGTTGTAATACCAATTTGAGTTATTTTACTACGAATAAGAAAAGATCTACTATGAATTACTTTTACTTTTTTTATATTGTTAATAATATACTAACTATTTATGGGTTTTGTAATTGATTACGGAATTACTTAATCCCACTTTCTATTGGGATAATCAATTCCAGAATAGAAAAGGGAGTGAAATTACCTGATGAAAAACAATTGGTTTTGAGAATGGTTTGGATTAATTTTTAAGTTATGGATAAATCTTTCAAGACTTTCTTGAGCAGGATTCGAATAGAATGATAAAGAAATGATCTAGATATTATATTATAAAAGGCTTAGTTTTGCAACTCAAGATTACTATTAATGTATAATACGTTTGATTTTAGAATTATTTATTAACGATCATATGGGTTGATTGCTAGGAAAATCAGGTTCCGGGAATTTTTTAGCAAAATTGAGATTTTTATTGCATTTTAGTTTTTGATGTTATTAGATTAAAATGTATTAAGCTCTTAATTTTAGTCAAAAATTTCTCGGAACCTGATTTTCCTAGAAACACTCCCATATAAACTAATTGATTTATTTGTAATCATTGCTTTTCATAATCTATATACATTTTTTTTTACAAACTAATTAATTAATAATTATTTATAAAAGTTTTGAATTAAAAATAAAATTATTTAGAAATTCATTAGAGAATTTAATTTAAATCTTTAAAATTAAATATATCTTTAATAAAAAATAATTATACAATAATAAATTTAGTACATTATAATTGATTGAGAATTTAATATTATAAATAAAAAAATTTATTATTTAAATTAATTAAGTTTAATAAAATTATTTTATTAAGAAATAATATTTATTTAAAAAGTTTATAAGTAAATAATAATTTAAAAAATAATAATTATAAGAATATTTATATATTTAAAGAAAAAATATTAAAAATTAATAGCTTTAATATAAATAAGATTATAAATAATCTTAAGTATAATTAACTATATTTATTATTTATTATTAAAATATTATATATAAAATTTACCTTTTATCTCTTATATTTTTTAAAAAAATAGTATATTTATTATATTATAATAATAAATCAGAAATATATTAATATTAATTTAAAAATTAAAATTAATTTTAATGATATAAATATTTTTAAAATAGATAATTTTTATTTATTAAAATTAATTTTAAATTGCTTTTTTTAAATTTTTTATTTTTTCAGATATAATATAAAAAATAAAAATTTCTTTTTATTTTTTAATTATTATATTTTTCATTTATGTATTAAATAAATAAATAAATAATATATTCTTATTATAATTAATTTTATTTATTTTTTTTATAGCAATTTTTATTTGTATATAAGATATTTAAACAGAGATTCTGTGACATAATCAGTATTAATATTATTTTTACTTATATTAAGAAATTAAAAAATTAGCTATATAATAGATATAATGTGACAAATAATAAATTTTCACTGAAAAGATTCTAAGTTTCTGAATTAAATTGTAAAAATTACCTTAGTTTTGCTGCCTTTATATATATATATAAAAATTTTTTTAAAAATTAAAAACAAAAGAAATATAATATCAGTGAAAATATATATCATATAATTTAAATTCAAATACTCTATATCAACTTAAAAATTTTTTTTTTATTTTTTATTTTTTTTTAGATTTTTTTTTTAATTTTTAATTTAATTTATTTTTTAATAGAAATTCTAATTTATAAAAATGAATTTTATATATTATAAAATATTTATAAGTTAATTTATTATAAAATAATAAATATAAAAATAAAAATATTTTTATATAATAATTATAAAATTATAGAATATATTTTATAATTAAATTGATCTTTTACTATAATTATAATGTTTTTTTTTTATATTTTATTTATTTATTTTAATTAATACAGTAGTGTTCTAAGACATGATAATATATTAATATATTATCATGTCCTAGAACACTACTTGCTCCAGACTATTATGTCCTAAGATGTCATAGTTTATCAATTAATATGTTCTAGGACACCATAGTCTATTGATTAATATGTCCTAGAACACCATAGTCTATTGATTATTTTGTTCTAAAGATGGGGGCTGTTTTCCCTTTCTGTGAACTGTTGGTTAGTAAATATAGATGAGATGTGTGCCTATTTGGTTGCCTATTAAAATGCCAAATTGTAATAAAATAATATGTCGAGTGGCGCAGTAAATTCGTGATTAATTTTGGCTGACATTATACCATAATTCTGGCAGATCTTTAGAACATGTGATTCGGAGATCCAGCTTAGTGCCATGATAGTAACCTGCTAGTATCCTGGAGCTGTCATGGAACTGGTGAGGAAATGGCTAAAATTATGATATAGTGTTAACTGAAATGATTGCAAGAGAGATACACTATGTATCTTGTTAGAAGAGTCATATGATAGTGTTCCCAAAGGGCTCAGTGAAAGGTAATTCTTTACGCATGTATTGTTAAGAGAATCATATGATAGTGATCCCAGAGGGCTTAATATCAGATGACATTCAGTGTAAAAATGTGCAATATCAGGTGATCGTAATTTAGTGCACCTTAAATTCAGCCAGAATTATGAATTGGTATTAGTCGAAATTATCATAATTTACTGCGCCTTCAGTTCTGAGCACTTTCCCGTCACTTCCTCATCATTTGCTCGCAACCTTCTTATTACTTTCGAGGGATATTTGGGTCTCAGTCTGGTGTTTTAATTGGTTAGAAAATCAGAGGTATAATGTGGTGATAGTGCGATACTAGCAATGCAGTACTGTTCCTAAGTACAATATATATCGAGTATATACTAATGATTGGATATTCTTCTGCCAATATTTTTACGCACTTGTCTACCCTAGATATTATATATGCCAGGTATACACTAGTAATAGGGTATTCTTCTTCCATTATTTTATATAAAGATTCCGAAGAAGAATACTCTGAATAATACCTATTAAGAATGCATTTATTCCTGGCCCCTTTATCATCTTGCTATACGCCTCTTTTTTGCATTCATCAAAAAAAACTGTCGGAGACTATACCTGGGATATATCTAGGAAAAATGTAGCCTTCTTCCAATTTTTTATATAATAATTCTGAAGAAGGCTTCATATCATACTCGAGTACATATCTAATAAGGATAAGTCTTACGCGGAGGCTATACCATTCCCAGGATATATCTAGAAAGATGAAGGCTTCTGCCATTTTCATATAATATAATTCTGCAAAAGTATTCATATCATACCTGGATGTATATCTAGGAAGGATAAGTCTTACGCGAAGACTATACCATACCTGAGTATATATCTAAAAAGTATAAGTCTTCTTTCAATTTTTTATATAATGATTACGAAGAAGACTTATCATCTGAATGTATATCATTTTGCCTTTCTTTTGTATTTTACTTACTGTATTTACTATCACCTCTTTTTTGTAACCATCGAAAAAAATAAATTAAACATTTCTAAATTTTATAAAGATAGTATAACTTTTCAAACTAACATCATGCATACACCAACTAATTTCGACCAAACTGATCGCTCCAGAACTGCCCCTCTCATTTATTATAATAATGCTGGCCCTTTAACTGGTATTCCATCACGTAATGATATTGTGGCAGAATTTGATAATGGGATGACCGTTATACTTCAACAAAGCCTATCTGACAAGCAACCCATACATTTCATGCCTACTGAAGTTAGTGATGATACTTTCGAATATGTAAATAGTATCTCCTCCTATATTTTGCGTATTATTGGTACTTTGATTAATGGACAAAAAGCAGTCATAAAAATTACAGGCATTAAGCCCTTCTTTGATGTTGAAGTACCTGAAGAGATGCCACTATCTACATTTAAGACCAGATTAGTAAATATATTATCCAATACTCTCAAAGGTACATCAAAATTTGGGATCAAGAATATTAGTACTTTCTCACTTCAAGGATATCATACAGAGAAAAAATTATATATACGTATTATTACTTGAAATCAATTTGATCAGTATAATGCGTTAAAAGCAGTTCTTGAAGTCAGTATCCGTACAGCTTCTGATGATCTAACCCCAATATATTATTATCGCAAAGTGGCCTGTGAAGAAAGATTACCACTTTCAAGCTGGGCAGTATTAACTAACTATTCATATACACTATTAGAAAATAGTTATCTTTTTCGAGTATCCATGGGTAATTACAGCTCAATAA